TTTGGTAGGAAATGCATCACTTACAGTAGTGTTGGCGTAAGTCTTCTTTGCTTGATTTTCAGGAGCTGGGTCCATCGGAAGTTTGGTTAGATTGTTGCTTACATTGGAGAACATAATGATTAATTGTCAGCCGCGGTAGGCTGACTTTAAATAGATGTTAAATTAGATTAGTATTGATTCTTATTTGGTGTGACACAAACACTAATTCACAACTGATAACACTGCACTCGTGATCACGACAAGAGGCACAAACGGATGTGTTCCCTCTACGGTGTCTGGGAGCGAACTCTGCAAAATATTGTTTCTTATGCTCCAAAACTCTATTAAACGTAGGCTTGGAAATTCTAAAACAATACATTATTCTTTGTGAAATCAGAGTTAAATGTTTTGCTGAAAATATAATTGAAAAGTTTTATATTTACCAAGATCAGCATGCGTATGTTTTAAAGGACTATTGTAGGATATCCTGCTATCTACATAACGTAAAAGCGTAATTCGTGGTATAATTATAGACAGTGAAACGTTTTTTTAAAGACTCACGTGTCTATACATTGCATTTATTTATGAAAACTCTATACCTATCTCCGTTTCGCCAACTATAACATTATGGTGCAAGGATTTTGTAGTATTGTAATTGGTCTTGAAAATGACATAAAGAGCGAATGACAAGAGATAACCGCTTATTCCTTTAATTTAGCTATTTTAATTAACTTAAGTGCTTTCTATAAAAACTCTTAATATTAGCAAGCAGTCACATCTGGGGACTATTACCTTTCATTTGCAGAAAAAAGCATGGAGTTTTTAATAGAAATCTTAAATTCCTTTCTAAACGAAAACACTTAGTTTTAACTATAAAGAAGGTAATTGGTTAAAAATTCAAATTTCACCCAAAATGATGGAGACATTGCCTTAAATGTAACAGAAAGGAATGAAAGTAAAAGTAGAAGGAAGGTATGCAAGCCGGTACCGGTAGTCAAATTGCTTAACCACTCTTCATGAAGTTACCGAGGATAAACTTCGCGCCAATGAAGGGGCAAAGACCCTGGCCGGAGGTATAAAAGACATATGCTAACTGGGTAATCAGAGGTTTACTCCACGTTCGACACCATTACGTGGTTAGAGAATGTTGATACGAAAAAAACAGACATTTTTTAAAAGAGCCCTTTCCCTCCCCATTTAATTAAAGCGAGTAATTAAAGACAAAACCGGTATCCACAGTTTTGTTCGAATAGTTTTTCATTTTTAAAAAGAATTGTAGGTAGTATGGCCCTTATTTCGTATCGTGCCCCAAGAGAATGAGTTCACTGATTCCCGCGAGAATTTGGATAACAACATGTACCGCGGACGTTTTGTTAGTTAATAATATATTTGTTAGTTAATAACGTATACAACTTTTAGGACACAATTGACGCTTCGCTATGCCTGTCTGTATTGGTAGCTCCGGCAGTCAGCCCCGTGATTAAAACTAAACCATCCAGATATTTTATGCCCATACACTTTGCTGCCATACAATCGGATAAAGAAAAAGAAACAAAACAAATGGATGGGATTTAATGAAGAAACTGACTTAGAATCCATCAACCGCGAAGGAATTCAGCAATTAAAGTAACTTTTTCATGTTATTTAAAAATAAAGAGGAACCTGTATTAAGCGGTCGTTATTAATCTCGAAGAAAAATTGGCCGTTAGTACAGGTGGTTGCTCATCAAGGGTTTAGAGAAGACAAGTGTGCATCGGGCCTAATTTTCCGCTTCCCACTCTCTTCTTTTTGTACCACGATTTTTCTTCTTTCCATTCGTGTATTATTTAAACAGGCTTGATAATTTTATCTCTCATAGCAAAATTGCGCATGAAAATCATCTATTATTGTTTAAAGGTTTATTATTAATATCTAAAAGGTAACGAGACGTATTATCGAAAGTTATCGTATTTGACGTTGTGTTATGATAGTGAATTTCAAGTAATTTCTGCCGCTTTCCTGCGATGGTGCTACATCTCAAAATCTCAACGAAGGACTCACATTCGAGTACAATAATTGTAGTAAATTATTTTATTCCTACATTTGCTTTGTCATGAGTTAATTTTGAACGTTTGAAAAGGATATTATCTGCAAAATCACACTTCACTTGGTGTTCAACTGCAACAGCAAAAAGCAAGCGAAAGAGTTCGTTTTTATTTTTCACATGCGTCCCTTGTTCGATAATGTTAAACTTAAATGTAGCTCGCTAATTCGAATCCCGCAAATCCGAAATTTTGGATAATCTGAACAAGAGTAGGGACGAAGGAAAAACATACAAAATAAATAAAATGATTATTTGTTTTTAAAGAAAGTATTTTATAATTACTGTAGAAATGAACATCTAATAATAGGACGTGAATAAATACTAAACAATTAATATATTATATATAAATAATGCATTAACAACTAATAAATGAACAACCAATAGTTGTCGAAATTAAACTGTTTTGTACTGGGGTAACTGCGGTGTATATCACATGAAAATGTAGCAGTTTTTTTCACTTCCAAGAACTAGCAAAATCGTTAATCTTCTTTTGCCCTAAGGAACTGAATATGCTTGATGCGATCGCTGTGCACGTTCCCATTTTCTCACATCGCACGCTACGTTGCATTGTCTGGTGATCCTATAGATGTATTTGAATATTTACGGTACAATTTTTCGGATAATCCGAAAATATCCGAACAGACCACATCCCCAACAAGTTCGGATTACTGTAATTCCACCTTCGATCACGATCTACGAACTTCGTTAACTACTTTCGTTTTACAGAGAATAATGCGATTTAGAGCAGTACCTCGAAATCGGAGATGTTTGACTTGGGTGGGTCCAGGATGACAGTGGCGTCTGGCCGGCTGAAACATCTCGAAAAGTTCGTCCAGCTGGTTTTGCTCACCGGGTGCATGTACCAGCCCGTCTCCGTGCAGCGTCGGGTGACGTTTTCCTGCAAAAGGAGGGGATCGGATTTTGAAGATTTTAAAAAATTTGGATGGACCTCGACTATAGCACTACATTAAAGTAGTTAATTTGCAAATTCCATACAACGCTGCCGGGTAGAAATAAAATAAAATATTTCATTATTGCGATTATTTATATGCCAAGTATATAAATTCATTTTAATCACAATAAATTATAACGTATGTGAACTAATTAATTCTGTTTATTTTTATTGACAGAAATCAGTTTTGTTGAGAAGAATAGTTTCCAAAATTTGAAATGGGGAGATTTTCCACAATTTTGGACTATAATTTTTGCTATTTGTAATGCAGTTAAGTGTGCTTTGGTTGCTCGCTAACCCCTGTTAATTTCTTTAAACCATAAAATTCTTGAAGCCTTTCTAAAGATCTTCAAGTAAGTGCGTGTTAAACAAACCGAATGAAAAATCATTCAATTTCATGTTTGCACACAGTTTCCCACCTTCCAATCTATTTATTTCCATTCCTCAACTTGAGTTCTCGAGGAGGCGGTTTTAGGATTCAAAATCGCAAACTCTTGACAAAATTGTGACGGTCTTTTAGTTACACGTTGATGCATGAAATGTACATGGCTCTCGAAAATGTGAATATTTACACGTGACTCACGGGTAAATAAATCAATTCTAGGAAACACGTAACCAAAAATAGATGTGAAAATTTAATCTTGGTGACCGTTTCAGTAGGTTTTACTGTAAATTTATCGCCATTATCACGTTAGTGTACAGAATTCGAAAATTAATACTTTCAAACTGCTAGTCATCTTATATGTAGGTTTTTAAATGACAGTTAAAAGAAAAACAAGTACATTTGCAAAGCAACGCTCACTGCCTATAGCAATGTGAAGACTAGAAACGAGCATTAGTTCTCGTGCATTTAGAGCCCCATGTAATGTCAATGTATGGGGCAGCATTTGTAGTGATGAATTTTTTAAAGTATTTTTTAAAAAATACTATAATTGCATAAAATTATATAAATGGCATGCTCTCTTTCTCAGTACATCACAATTTATTGAATACTCATTGATACAGAATCAGTATTAAGTAATTATAGAGTAGTTAGTTCCAGCACTATCGCCAAGTAGGGAGATGATTGAAGTTGATTATCCTGTCAACAGCGGAGTAGGATATGAATTAAAAATTTCCGTTGATCGTAAGTTACAAAAACAAGAGATGCTTCAATTACGAGATAGTCCTGAATATTCATTTAATGTGTAAATAAATACTTGACAAACAAAATATTCTTTTAATTTCGCGAGTAGCAACATTTGAATTTGGAGCAGAATTTCCACATGCAATTTGCGAGCCAGAGTCTTGATATTGCTTTTGCAATATCACCTAGCAGTATAGATGAAGTTACTGTTTGCTTTCCCACCCACAAGCCGTGTTTCGCTGGTCGTCTGCTACCGCAGTGCTGTCGTGTCAGGCGGGGGCGGTGGAGGGAGAGGGAGGAAACGTACCCGTGGGTCGAAGCCGGTGATGTAGGCGGGGCAGGGCTGTTCGCAGAGCTCGCCCGCCTCTGCGCCGTCCCAGCACATGATGCCGTCCCACGTGGGCGGGCAGACGCCGACGCCGCCCCCTGCGCACAAGACGCCAGGCGACAATTAGGGATGAACCACATGGAAAAACTAGTGGTGCTAAAACCCCACCTATCTCGCTCGTATTTTCACACAAAAGTACTCAAATTTTCGAAGAATCGTACATGACATTATATCGAAATCTATCTTCAAGGAACAGATTTCATTAGAGGATAAATCTTTATCCTTAATGTTTTAGCTGGTGAAAGACCACGAAAACATTTTGAGCTTTTGCAATTTTCGAAATATTCGGGTTTTTAACGAACATGAGACCTGCACCATTTATAAATGTCCTGCACACTATCCAAAAAAAATCAAAAACGTTGACATCATTTAAAAAAATTCAAATATCGGTTTCAAATTCAAGGGGTCGCGAAATCTGTCAGATCAATTGGGGAATATTAATTTTGGAGATTATCGGCTGAATGCTTTAACCGCAAACCTTGTTTCACAAATGGGCAGAGAGACACACAGACAGGCGGATGAACAGACATTCGATTTGCCATCACTCGATTTTTCGGTATCAAGGACCTACAATTCAGGGATTTTGTGTAGACCACGTCTTAGGAAATTTGTTTCTAAATAAAGCAACTGGATTTATCCACTTTTTCGTTACTAGGGCGCTGTAATAAGGGTTTCTCTACTCACAATTCGCTGGTTTCATTGCAAAACTTTCGTTCCTTACCAAGAGTGTACAAATCCTAGGAATACTCAAGCAGAAGTGTAGTATGGATGCATTAAAAGTAAATGTGATGTTTTAGTTGTTTTACACATGTTTCTTATTTTCATTAATTTACTTTCTAATCATTGTTAAATAGTCAACTTGTGTAGTCAAGTTTGCAAAGGCCGTCGTACCTTGAATATATCGTATCGAAGGGTCTTAGGTTCGAATTCCGCCTCAATCATAAAATTACCCAGTTTCACCTTTTAGACCCATTTATACGTTTCTTGGTCTACATACTATCACATCTCATAATCATCTCTACCACGACCAAAGGTCGAAAATAACTAAAATGGACACACGTGGGGGAGAAGAGGACGAGCAAGGAGGAAACAGAAGTAGAAGACTAAGGAGAAGAAAGAGCAAAATGTGGGATACCGAGAAGAGGGAGAAATAGCAGAAGGAGCAAAGGAGTTAGAAAGGAAGAGAGACGAAGTAAAGGAAAGAGCGAGAAAGGGAAATGGAGAGGATAAGCAAGGGGTCCCAGGACCCGAGGTACTACCGAAATTTGATTCATTCGAAACAAATCAATCATTAATTTACTTAAAATTCAAATTAACCGCAATAAGTTATTTTTGTTACATGGGAAAATGTTGTGTATGTTTCCACATGGGGTTGGTACTTTTGTTTGAAATAAGGTCCCTTTGTTAACATACCGCCTCAGGTTTGTTGTTTTCTCTGATCGCCCCTGTCGATGAGAGAGGAAGAAAATATGAAGGATGGTAGAGTAATAGTAAAGACGTAAAGTAAATGAGATGAAATGTGATGTAATGTTAAAAATTAAATGAGTTTCTTAATGAAAAACTAAGACTGATGAAAACTGAATCTAAGATCAATATTAAATTCAAGCAGAATATTTAATTAAGATAATTCCTTATTATTACTACAGTTGCATGTGAAATAACTATTTCAAAAATAAAATGGAACTGATGGTCTGTAGTTGAGAGCAGAGGGATTCACAGCAGGTCCTTACGTGTTGGCACTGGTAATTTGGTGAGCGCCTTGACTCAGGACCACCACAAGCTTGTAAAACAAAATTTACACAATTTCCGATAAAACTAGTAACATTGCATAATAAATTCTTGCGTGCTTTGATGAGTTACCCCGTTGCATGCAAAAAGTTTTACGAACTAATTTTCAGATTAGGAAACTTGGACAGCATATTGGTGACCAAAATGGGGAATCTGGCTAAATGGATAAATAAAACTTATAAATTATATTAGTATATTATCATATTTGTAACCTATAAAAATTGCATGCACCACTACAAGTTTCACGTGTGACAACTGCAGTTAGGGTTCTCATATGGCCCTTCTGGACAGGGGCCTTCGAGAACCTAGCTGTGTCCCTGGGCATTACCATCTTTTGGTACCCCTAAACAATTGTGAAACATAATGAAAAATAGAGTATTTACTTTGTATTAGAGTACAATTCAAGCATATTTGGATCAAGTTATAGGATATTTCGAGGGGTACGTGAAACTTGTCGCATATACTACAGAGGAGTTTCATAAATTATGTACTAACAAAATTCACAACCAACATTTAAAAAGGCGTTACAAACTTTGCATGCCAAATTTACGATAGGTATACTGGGGTTTTACGTCATTGTAACGTGCTGTCGTGCTGGCAGCCTAATGATAATAGACCTCTGTGTTTTTGCAAGCTCGTTCTGGTTATAATGATTACCGCTCGCGCGCGAAACTATATTGTACCTCAGTTTGCGATAGGCGTGGGTTAGAAAGGAGCCACCTCTGTCACACTTGCTTGGGGTGTTTTTTCCTTTACAACAAATACTCAAGGAAGATTCGAGGATAGTGCGGTTGTAAATAAATTATAAATGATATTAGCACATTGCGATCCGCCAGCTACTTCTTACTTTTTAGTTTTATTACTACTACTGTTCTGGCTAGCATTACAACTCGGTCTTTGAATCTTCAAAATTGGAAATATAAAGTGATATTTGCACTGTTCCCTTCACCCTTAGACTCTGTTTGGTGACTTTTCTGACCCTATATGCAAATAATGTTTTGCAACACTCTGGAAATTCATCACACGAAATTCTCCTTTAAGATATGGTGTTTATGTCCAGTTTTACATGTGTTGTAAAATTGTCAGTTTTTTATTTTTTTATTAGAAAACTTTTATTTTTATGTGTTTTGGGTAAGAAATTCTTCCAAATATTTTATACGTTACGCGTCTGAATTATTAGAAAAATTCTAAAAACGTGTCCATTTCCGTTTTATAATATTATGTGATATTTCTGAATTACAATCTGGCGTGTTTATTACGACTCTGTATCAAACATTCTCATGCTGGTATGGTAGACACTTACCTAGGGTTTTGAGGATATGTTAGAATGTTTTTCTGGTAACATTTGGTTATACTTTGTTTTTTAATACGATATAGTAAATAAAGCAAATAAATAGCATAATTTTTTTAATTAATAATTCCAAGTAGCATACGTGCATAAAATACAGGGAAACTATTGCGTGAAGCGTGTGGGGTCCAATCGAAGCCGAAACAGAGTCCACGTAAGTAATGGAGAAATAGAATGAAAGGTTAAGTGTGGCTTAAGAACTCGCAATTTCCATACATTAGTACATTACTTTTATGAAGAAAGGAAAGAGTTTTCTTCCGAGATAGAACCTGCGGATTCCCAATCACTGGCAAGCTCGTGTGGCAAGGCGTGGCCTTAGCTCTCGACAGTACAAGTGTTGGGCTTTTAGATTTAATTGTTCTTAAATTTATTTAAAAGAAAAAGTAATTGCTAATTGTATTGCCTTTAATATACATTTCAACATCTTATTTAAAAGTTATGTATATTTGATGCGCTGCCTAAGTCGAACACTCCCAGATACACGTAAACGGTTCATGATATTGGAAAATAGTTTGCAATCAACGTTAACGTTATTAGAATAACACTGATTATTTAATTCACTTTATTTTCATGGGGCGTAAACGTATTGTTTCTCTTATTTTTTGTTTTGAAGAAATGTAATCACTATTGATTTTTAAGAAAGATTATTTAGTTTTTAACATGCAATAGATATTTTTAATATTTAAATTAGTAATATTTGATAAAACAGTCCATTTCTGACCAGTGCCAGGAACTACTTGCATGACCTCATTTTCCCCTGATATAGCATGTATTACTCACGGTTTTTGATTAAATAGAACTACATTTTCAAATTCATATACTGATCTTGCCTATAAAATGCAATAATGTTCCAAGATGCTTGATTAGCATGATTAAACACAAACGTAAACAATTGATTATGTAAATAAGGCATGGCCATCACGAAAATCATATATTGAAAGAACTACCAATTGGTTTAGAAATTAGTACTTTTCAATGTACATCAATGATGCGAAATACTTTTAACATTTCTAACTATGTGTCGTAAGTCCTTCATTTTGATATTTTGGTAATATTTAATTTATTATTGTTATTAGATAATATTATGCTACAACACTTTTTGCCGAAGTATTATTGGTATGAAAATAACAAAAAAGATAAAATTAGTAGTATGGTAAGTAAAGGTGATTAAATTATTCATTGTGGATTCAACCTTTTTTTTTAAATAGTGAAATGACAATGATTCTCTTTAGACTTCTTTTGAAATCAAAAGTCTTAGTGATAAATAATCGTATTTTGATTTCTTATAGCAATGGCAATCACAGGAATAAAATTTCAATTGTTTTACAGCACTTGAATGGAAGTATTTTTATAGCGCATGAAGTTAAGTCGAGTGTTGCTGGAAGCGACCCCTCCAACCTCCCCGACAAGCGCGTTGCTATCGCTCGATCCGGCCTCTTCTCTTGCCTCCTCTTGCTCTAATTGCGAAAATTGAAGGCCGCCGAAAGCCCTGGAAATGGATCTCTCCCTAAGCCCTTCCTCGGGCGCCGGAGATCTCTCTTCAATTACCCACGCGTTCCTCCAGCTACTCTTACCTCGGCCAGAACACGGCGTCGTTATTCACCGCAGCGATCAGCCGGCGCTCATAATCCTCATCCCTCACACTTGGAGAGGCCCCGGGCTGCGCGACGCGCGGCGACGGAGGGCGAAGGGCTCGGCGCAGTGGGTGGGCGACGCGCCGCGGCGGAGATAACTCACGGAGGAAACATTTCGGACTGTCTCTCGCCGGTTGGGCTGAATTTTTGAAGTTTTGATTCCATTAGAGTTGAGAGTTGCTTCATTTTCTAGGATCGTTGTAGCCCATGGTCTAATGAATAGATGATAGCGACATTGACGATCAAATGAAAGATGATGGAGAAATGG